CTCCCTTTGGCTGTGACTTGCCGGGGCTGCCATCGCTGGGTGGGGGCAGGGCTGATGGGACGTGGTGGGGAGGAGGCAAGGCCATCTCAGGGAGATGTTGGACAGGGGCACGAGGAGTCAGCTGGGAGCTTGTCCTCTTGTCATTAGCCTGCGGAACTCACCGCCACAGGGTTTTGATTGGGGCAAAGGTGGTGGGAGATGTCTGTGGATGACAGCGACATCATCTGGGGAGGGGGAGCCACCCCCAGGCGTCAGGGCACGGTTGTCTTGTGGTGGGTGGGCAGCATGGAGAGGCTAGTGCTGTGGGGACATTGGGGGTGAAGGGGGTGGGGAACTGTCCTGCCATGGTTCCCCCTCCACCATCGTTGCAAAATTCAACTAAAATCACAAGCCTGTCATTCCACCCCGGACCCCACTTTGGCGGCCGAACTGGGGCAGCAGCATGGCCTGATGGTGGGGGAGGGGCTCGCCCTGGCAGGAGGAAGGGCCAGTCTGGCCGCACATCCCCCCCCCCCCAGCTGCGAATCTCCCCCACATCCCGCCTGGGGCTCATTGATTTCACGGTTTGTCCATCCCCAGCAGAGACTTGAGGGGGGGAGGGTGTAGTCTGGACCCCCCCCATTACCCATAATTCCGTGGGGCTCGGGGGGCATCCTGCAGAGCACATGTGGGTCGTGCCTGATTTGCCCCACTGCCCTGAGGGGGTGAAGCTGAGGATCTATCCTGGCAGTGGGAGGGGTGCATTGCATTGGGACTCACTGATGCTTCCTCCCCTCCGGTGGGGAGTTGGTGGCGGGGGGCACAGGCCAGGAGTTAAATCCCCACTGCCCAAGGCCCTCGGACAGCACAGAGAGGCTGAGATCCCTGTACAGCCGGCTCTGAATCCTCCCCATACATGGGGGCCGGGGTGTGTCTATGAACAGGGGTCGCGCGGCCTAACCATCTCCCGCCACGAATCCCCCCCCACCGAGCATGGGGGGTGGGAGAAGTGTGTTGGGGCAAGGCAGCTGGAAGGGGCTGTCAGAGGTGTGTAGGGGGGTGGAGGGCATGAGGGAGGGAGGCTGTCAGGGTAGGGGGTGCTAGAGGGCACGAGGGGGTGACAGTGGGCTTGTAGGGGGGGCTGTATTGGGGCAGTAGATGGTGTGTTGGGGAGTGAAAGGGGCATGGGGGTGTTTAGGGGGCATAGAGCATGTGTTGGGGGGCATATGGGTTTTGGGGCATTGGCAGGTGTGGGGGGCAGTAGGCCCTGAGGGTGTTTGGGGGCGGGGCACATTGGGGCAAGGGGTGGGGGGAGGGGCAGCAGCCTGGTCACATCCCACCACCAGGGGCATCATTCAGGGGCCGGGGGGGGGGGGGGAGGGGCACCAGAGCTGCCGGGGAGAGGTCACCATACATGGGCAGGACAGCCGGGCCCAGAGGTCTGATCTGTGACGGAGAGGCGGGATACCGGGTTAGATGGGCCCATGGGCCAGAGAGAGCTACCCGAGTGGAGACGCAGCTGGGAGCCCCCCACCCCCAGCTGGGACCAGGAGGTGCCGCTGGGAGCTGCGGTGGCTTCAGGCTGTCATTGAGGGTCTGATCCGGTGGGGCCCAGCTTTCGGGGCCGGTTCCGATGGAGTTTGTGTTGCCTTCCAACAGCCGAGACTCCCAGTGTCCTGGGCCAAAAGCACAAGATTTCCCCCAGAACCAGAACATCAAAACCCATCTGGGTCCGAGTCCGCCCCACAACTGGACTGATGAGGGGCCAGCTGGGATCTTGGGACAGGAACCCAACCCAGATTCCAAAGGGGTCAGATATGAGGTTAGAGGAGCTCCTGGGAATCAGGGAGCCCAAGGCCAGGATACCCGGGGGCTACGGGCTGGGATCGAGGGTCATTGGTAGAGCTGTGGGGCAGAGCCCAGGGCTGGGATACCTGGGGGCTGTGGGTTGGGATTGAGGGGCATCGGTGCGAATGAAGAAGTATCACTGAGATGCAAGAGCAGGGAAAGGGTGTCAGGACTCCTGGGTTCTGTTCCCAGCCGCAGAAGGGAGTATTACCAAGGGGTGACAGATGCGGCATGGCCTGGGAATTAGGACTCCTGGGTTCCATTCCTGGCTGGGATGCTGGATGATGTCTCAGTTTCCCCATCTGTGAAATGGGGCGTGAGATACAGCACACCCCCCCCCCCCGCGAAGGACCCAGCCAGCCATCCCAGCTGATGCGGGTCAGCCACGCTGGCGTCCCGCCCATGCCTACAATGCTGGGTGAGATCTGATCAAAGCCCCCTTTGAACCCGGTACGGCTCTGTGCTGGGGGGGCGGGGGGGTTGTCCCTGGCAGACCCTGCCCCTGCCTTCCCCTATGTGGGCTGCAGGGGTGGGGGTTGGGGGCGTTGTCAGGAGGCTAATCAGCTTGCTCAGCCCTGTGTGTGTCATGATAGCCTTGGATTCCCCAATTAAACCCAGCGGGCGAGTGGGGGCGAGCTGGGAATCCAAACAAAGCTGCAGGTTCCTGCTGCAAAGCAGGTGGGGGACACAGGACAGACCAGAGGCAGGAGACTGGCTCAGAGCCCCGGGCTCCCCTCACTCCCGACCCACAGCCCCCTGCCCTCCCAGCCCCGGGCTACCTCCCCCTCCCCCCGCAGCTCTGCCCGTGCCCCTCACTCCCGACCCACAGCCCCCTGCCAGCCCAGCCCCGGGCTCACACTCCCCCCGAGCTCTGCCCTGGGCTCCCGCCCCCCCCCAGCTCTGCCCGTGCCCCTCACTCCCGACCCGCAGCCCCCTGCCAGCCCAGCCCCAGGCTCACACTCCCCCCGAGCTCTGCCCTGGGCTCCCGTCCCTCCCCAGCTCTGCCCGTGCCCCTCACTCCCGACCCGCAGCCCCCTGCCAGCCCAGCCCCGGGCTCCCGCCTCCCCCAGCTCTGCCCATGCCCCTCACTCCCGACCCACAGCCCCCTGCCAGCCCAGCCCCGGGCTCCCTACCCCTCCTCCCCCGCAGCTCTGCCCGTGCCCCTCACTCCCAACCCGCAGCCCCCTGCCAGCCCAGCCCCGGGCTCCCTCCCCCTGCAGCTCTGCCCGTGCCCCTCACTCCCGACCCGCAGCCCCCTGCCAGCCCAGCCCCAGGCTCACACTCCCCTCGAGCTCTGCCCTGGGCTCCCGCCCCCCCAGCTTTGCCCGTGCCCCCTCACTCCTGACCCGCAGCCCTCTGCCAGCCCAGCCCCGGGCTCCCGCCTCCCCCAGCTCTGCCCATGCCCCTCACTCCCGACCCACAGCCCCCTGCCAGCCCAGCCCCGGGCTCCCACCCCCCATAGCTCTGCCCGTGCCCCTCACTCCCAACCCTCAGCCCCCTGCCAGCCCAGCCCCGGGCTCCCCACCCCGCTCTCCAGTCTTGTCCAGACTGACGTTGGCCGGGTTTAACTATCCTGGTCTAGTTCCGGCAGCCCGACCCCTCCAGTGAGGCTGTGTTTAGAGGGGGATAAAGGTGCGTATCGCAGTACGGCCGCCCCGGTGTGGGAAGGGGAATGGGTTCCCTTGATCCGGATAGACCTGCGTCCACACTGGGGGATTACCGGCTCACGTCACCCAGCTTCCCTTCCCAAGCAGGAGCACTGGAACTGTCTCTAGCGCTAGACAGGGCAGCGGGGGTCTGCTGGCCTCCTGTGACCCCGAGCGTTCGACTCTCCGGAGCCCGGCCTCCCCCAAAACCATGAGCCTGGAAAACGTTCGTCTTCTTTGTGCCCGAGCCACCTCGGGGGCGCGTTGGAGCTTTTCTCTGCGGCTGCGAGGGATAGAGATGCGCTTTCGTTGAATCTCATGATTCCGGCAGCTGGGGCTTTGAGAAGAGACCGAAAAGCTGCAAGAGGTGCCACTTGGCTGCCCGTTTGGCCTGAGCAAAGGAGGGACCCCCCCGCCCCCGAGCTCAACGCCCACACGGCTCCTTCGGAGGAACTCCCGCGCTGATGCGTCCCCACGCAGCGCTGCTCCGGAGCCGCTGTGTGACGGACTCTCCCTTGTTTCAACTCGTCGGAAACTTTCTGGCGCCGCGGGTCCTTGTGCCGTTTAGCCAAGCCACATGGCTCCTAATTACGTCGTTAATTTGTTAATTAGCAGGCGATGGCTCAAGGTGCTTCCCGGCCGCGACCCCGGCTTTCCAGACCCCTGCTTGGCGGCGGTCTTGAATGGAATGAGACTGCTTCAGAATTCAAACCCCCAAACTTCCAGGTTTTTCCTTCTGGAAATTGGTTTGTCTCCCCGGACGTACGTGCAGGGGGGTTTGTTTTTGTAGGGTAGCTTGGGAGCTGTCGGCTTGTGTGCATAGGTTTGTTAGAGTAGGGTCTCATGCGAGGGCCGGGTGGCATGAGTTTGTTGTACCATGATTGTTATTGTAGGGTCGCTGTCAGAACCGGGCTGGTGCGTTTTGATTTTTAAAACACAGTCCAGGCGGGGTAGATCCTGCTCTTCTCTGGGATAAGCCAGAGTGACTCCGGATTGATGCTGGGCTCAGAATCTGGCCCATCCCAGGATGCACTTCCATGACCCCGATGCTGAGTGGGGGTGGATGAGGTGCGTGTGGCGGGGGAATGAGGAGGATTGAGGAGATGCTTGGGGGGGGCACAGCTTGCTGCGCCCCCCCCCCTGCCATGCATGTAGCCTGGTGCTGCCCCAGCTGCTCCTGCCTCTTCTGCCAGGCGGCCCCACTGCCCGGCTCCCCCTGGGCTCCCCAGCTGCTGCCCCCCGAATCTGCACCAGGACTCAGTTGTCCCAGCTCTGCCAAGTCCTCAGTGCGTCGGGACAGGGGAGGGCTTTGGGCAGCTGCTTCTGGACCCCAGTCGCCTCCCTCACTTTGTTCCTGGGGGCTGCTGGGAGAGGCTTGCGGGTGTGTGTGTCCCAGGGGCTGCTGGGAAGGGCCTGGGGGTGCGTACCCCGGGGTCTGCTGGGAAAGGTGGGAGGGGGCGTACCCTGGGGGCTGCTGGGAAGGGTCTGGGGCAGGGCACCTGTATCCTGGGGGCTGCTGGGAAGGGTCTCTGTGTGTGTGCGCGTGCGCCCTGGGGGCTGCTGGGAAAGGAGTCTGGGAGGGGTGGGGGGAGAATGTGTGCCCCTGGGCTTAAAGGGGAGGATCTGTGGATAAAGGGTTACTTGGCCCATTTTATAGGGTAGGAAACTGAGGCACAGAAAGGGCAGGTTAATAGCCCAAAGCCACACAGTGAGTCAGTTCTAAAATGGGGCATGGAACCCAGGAGTCCAGCCCCCCTGCTCTCACCACTAGCCCCCACTCCCCTCCCAGAGCCAGGGATAGAACCCAGGAGTCCTGGCTCCCAGCCCCCCTGTTCTCACCACTGGACCCCACTTCTCCTCCAGGAGCTGGGTGTGGCGCAGGCTGCCCCCTGCTGGTGAAGGAGGACGCAGTCCCGGGTAAGAAAGGCTTCGCTGTCACCTGGCCCGTCTCTCTCCCTCTCTCCCTGCAGCCGGGCCCCCTGACGGCGCCATGGAGCGTCTGCTGCTCTACGCCCTGGCCCTCTGCCTGGCCCCCTCCCGCGCCCAGCTGTGCCCCCCCCGCTGCACGTGCCAGAACCTGTCCCCCTCGCTGGCCGTCCTGTGCGCCCGTGCCGGGCTGCTCTTCGTGCCCGGGCTCCTCGACCGGCGCACGGCCGAGCTGCGGCTGACGGACAACTTCATCGCAGCCGTGCGGCTCCGGGACTTCGCCAACATGACGCGGCTGGTGCACCTGACCCTCTCCCGCAACGCCATCCGCCAGCTGGTGCCCTTCGCCTTCGCCGACCTGCGCGGCCTGCGGGCCCTCCACCTGGACGGCAACCGCCTGCCGGCCATCGGGGCCCAGCAGCTCCGGGGCTTGCCCAACCTGCGCCACCTCATTCTGGGCAACAACCAGCTGCAGGCCGTGGCGCCCGGCGCCTTCGACGACTTCGCCGGCACCCTGGAGGACCTGGACCTGTCCTACAACAACCTGGCCCGGCTGCCCTGGGAGACCATCCGTCGCCTTAGCAACGTCAACTCCCTCAGCCTGGACCACAACCTCATCGCCCACGTGCCCCAAGGCGTCTTCGCCGACCTGCACAAGCTGGCCCGGCTGGACATGACCTCCAACCGGCTGAAGAAGATCCCCCCGGACCCGCTTTTCCTCCGCCGGCCTGTCTACGCCAAGTCGAAGGGCTCGCCCCTCTCCTCCCTGGTGCTTAGCTTCGGGGGCAACCCCTTGCACTGCAACTGCGAGCTGCTCTGGCTCCGGCGCCTGGCACGCGAGGACGACCTGGAGACCTGCGCCTCTCCGCCCGAGCTCCTGGGCAAGTCCTTCTGGAGCGTCCCCGAGGAGGAGTTCATCTGCCAGCCGCCCGTCATCACCCGCCACACGGGCCGGCTGGCGGTGACGGAGGGCCAGGGGGCCACCTTGCGCTGCCGCGGGGCGGGCGACCCCGAGCCGGCGGTGCACTGGCTGTCTCCGGAGGGGAAGCTGGTGGCCAACGGATCCCGGACGCTGGCCTACGAGAACGGCAGCCTGGAGATCCTGGTGGCCGCCATCCAGGACGCCGGCGCCTTCACCTGCGTGGCTTCCAACGCCGCCGGCGAGGCCACCGCCTCCGTGGAGCTGCGGGTCAGCCCCTTGCCCCAGCTCGTCAACGGCACCCGCCCCCCGGCGCCCGGGCCCTCCGATATCCTCACCTCGGCCAAGGCGGGTGCCGACGGGAGCTCCGCCCCGCGGGATGCGGGGGTCCTGGCCTCCGAGCTCTCGGCGTCCTCCGCCCTCATTCGCTGGGTCCCGCCGCGGCCCGGGCCCGGCGTCCGCATGTACCAGATCCAGTATAACAGCTCCTCCGACGAGACCCTGGTGTACAGGTGAGTCCATGCCGCTGGGCAGGGGGCGCCGGGCTGGGGGGGTCTGAGTGGTTCTGGCCTGGGTCGGGCAATGGGTCTCACCTGGGTGGCTCTGGGCCGGTGGGGTTAGAGGGGTGGATCCTGCCGGCTGGCTCTGGACTGGGAGGGTCCCATCTGGGTGGCTCTGGGCTGGAGGGTCCTGTCTGGTTGGCTCTGGGCTGGAGGTTTTGGGGGGGTGGATTCCATCTGGGTGGCTCTTGGCCGGGGGCAGGGCCGTGCTAGCCAACGTGGAGGAGGGTAGCAGGGTAGCTGTGGGGCGGGGGAGGGTAGCAGGGTGGCCATGGGGCGGGGTGGGGGGGTGGAGGAGGGTAGCAGGGTGGCCGGGGGGCAGAGGCAAAGTGGGGGAAGGGCCGCAGTGGAGTAGGGGGGCATGAAGTCCAGGTGGGGCAGGGATCCCGGCTGCAGGCACCGCTCACCACTCCCCCTCCCGCCCTGCAGGATGATCCCCCCACCCAGCCGGGCCTTCCTGGTGAAGGACCTGGCGGCGGGGCGGGCCTATGACCTGTGTGTGCTGGCCGTCTACGACGACGGGCCGACGGCGCTGATGGCCACCAGGGTGGTGGGCTGCGTCCACTTCAGCACCCGGCCCGGCTCCCCGCAGTGCCGCTCCCTGCATGCCCACTTCCTGGGCGGCACCATGATCATCATCATCGGCGGGATCATCGTCGCCTCCGTCCTGCTCTTTATCATCATCCTCATGATCCGCTACAAGGCCCACGGAGGGAACAAGAAGGCCCAGGTCAGCAACGTCTATTCCCAGACCAACGGCGGGCACCCCCCGGCCTCCTGGGCACAGGACCGGGCCGACGACAGGGCCAGGGAACTCAACGGGGTGGCCCCGAGCAAGGACTGCGAGAAGGGGCTGGCCACCCGTGGCCAAGAGGTGGGCGTGGGAGAGGCACCCTCTCCCAGGAGGAGGAAGTGGTCAAGGACTAGTCTAGACCTCCAGACCAACTGCCCCGCACCTGGCCGAGCCGAGGAACAAGGTAACGGGGTCTTACGGGCGTGGTGAGGATCTGCCTGGAGGAGGCAGGGTTTCATGTCACGCATGGTGCAGGACGCTCCATGCATCTTCCATGAGTGGTCCTTGCAAGCATCATGCTTGATGCCTGTATGACTCATGCCCACGTGGGTAGCCTGTGCATACATTCCTGCAGCTCTCCATATTCCTGATGGATGAACCTGTTTCTTTCTTCCCCTCGTCCCTCATCCAGATGACTGAGGCCTTCCACTGCAGCCGGGCTACTCTGGAGAGCGCCCTCCCCTAGCTGGAGGAGAACAATATCAGACTCCAGCAAGAGCCACCAGAGGGTCCTGTCTAGCTCAGCCCCCCAGGCGCCTAGCTAGGGGCTTTCCCTATGGGTCCTTCTCCAGGGTTGGGGCCTCTCTGAGCGACATTTACCCTCGCGGCCCAGGCAGGGGCTGGGGGATGGAAACTAAGCAAAGGGTTTGGAAAGCAAGGATTGGAGAGGTCTGTAAAGAGTTAAAAAGGGAGGGGAACAGGCACCTGGATGCTATGGGGATGGATGGATGTATGGGCGGATGGATGGAGACTGGGTAAACGGATGGGTAGATCCCTGCCGTCCATGGAAAGGTGGGTAGATGGAAAGGTAGCAGAGGGGCAGATAGATGCATACTGCAGGTGGCTGCATGCGTGGATGGATAGAAACATAATGTGGATGGATGGATAGTTTGGGTGAAAGGACAAATGGGTAGACATAATGCAGATGAGTGGGTGGGTAACATGGACAGATGGCTGGATCATGCATGTGCTTGGGGAGGATGGGTAATGCAGACGGGTGGATGGACAGATGGATGGACCAGTGGATGGACCAGGTAATGCAGACGGGTAGGTGGATGGATGGATAATGCAGATGGCTGGGTGGGAAGAGGAAAGGATTCATCGATAATGCAGATGTGTGGGTGATTGGATGGATGGATGGGTAATGCAGATGAGTGGAAGGTTGGGTGGACAGATGTATGTATGTATGTATGGGTAATGCAGACGGGTAGGTAATGCAGACGGGTGGATGGATGGATGGATGGGTAATGCAGACGGGTGGATGGACGGAGGGGTAATACAAATGGGTGGATGGATGGACGGAGGGGTAATGCAGACGGGTGGATGGACGGATCGATGGATGGATGAGTAATGCAGACGGCTGGGTGGCTGGCTGGCTGGATGGACAGACAGACTTGTTCCAAGCAGCTCGAGCAGGCCCCGTCCCGTCACTGCTCCAGCACCCAACCAACTCGCCGTGTTTGTCCCCTTTTTGGCAGCCCCCCCGGCAGCAGCGCCCCCTGTGGGCGAGAGGAGATGTGCCGGCGAATGGACCGATGTGAAGATCTGAGCATCTCACCCAGCTGGAGCGTGGCCGAGCTGTCAGGGGCGCCCCCAGGTGTGGGGACTGCGTCACCCAGGGAGGCCGGGGGGATGCCGGGAGCTGCTGCGCCGAGCGTCTCCAGCGGGGGCACTGTTACTGTTTCATCTGCAGAGGGTGATGGGGGAAAGCAGAGGAATGGGGGTTGGGGGGGAGCTGGGAGCGTGACACTGACCCTCTGCCCTGCACCTAAGAGCTGAGCAGTGGGTGCCAAGATTGCCCACGGTGACTCCGGATCGACCCCGGGTGGCTGAACTCAGAACCCGGCCTGTCCCCATTGCAGTCAGGGGGTGACTCCGGATCGACCCCGGGAGGCTGAGCTCAGAACCCGGCCTGGCCCCATTGCATTCGGTGGTTTCAGACCCATAGGCTGAGGGGATCGGAGTGGCAGGATCTGCTGGGGCCATTGGGGCTCCATTGTGCCCCTCCCCAGACCCTCTCTGCCCCCTCGCTGCCCCACATCCTGAGGGTCCATCTCTGCCCAGTCTCACCTTCTTTCTTCTTCTTCTTCTCTCCAGATCCCCATGGTCACCGGATCCAGTGGGAACCCCCTCCCTGCCCCTCCAGGGTTCCCATTTCACGCCCCTCACCCAACAGCCCGAACTACCTGGGACCCTGGGAGCCGGACAGTGCCCGCTCCTCCCCCACACGGAGCGGGGCCTGTGAGGGGGTGTGCCCAGACAGGCGGTGAGTGCGGGACCTGAGGCCGGGGGGGTCGTCTCCCTAGAGCCTGAGCCCCCTGGCCCTGATCCGGGGTGGGGGGAGGCATCTCCAGCAACTCAGTTCCCCTCCCTGTGGACCCCTGCTTTGACCCAGACTCCAGGGCCACAACCCACAGGGATGGGGAGGAGATGGGGGATGGCCTGCTCTCCTTCAGAGCCCGACTGCCTTTCTGCCCCCCTTTCGCCCCTCCCTGCCCCCCCTCAGTGCTCAGCCCCCAGGCACTGACCCCATCTCTCTCTCTCTCTCTCTGTTTCAGGGCTTTTGCCATGGACCCCGTTTCTCCAGGGGATGGCGCCGCCTACCCCTGCCCTGGCTCAGGGTTTGTCCTGGGCTCACGTGACTCGCCCCGTGCTGGGGCGGGAGCTCCTGCAACCCCCCCCCCCCAAACCCCTGCTCTTGCCTGAAGCCCCGGCAGCTGGTTTTCTATGACCTCCCCCCCCCCCCCAGTTTTCGAACAGTGTCTTTAATTTTCTAATAAACACACCTGCTCCGAGTGGGCCGTGGCTGGGAGCTGTCGCTGGACTGGGGGGATCACTAGGGCGGCTGGGGCTCACTGCCAGAAGGGGGTGGTCAGGGCAGGGTCATGGGCTGGGGGTTATTATAGCGGGGTGGGGATGGACCGCTGTCTGGGGGGCATTGGGGGACGGTCAGTGTCGGGGGGCACCAGAGTGAGGAGCTGGGGGTGGTCGCTGCATAGGGGGGATTGAACTGGGGGAGGGGGTGTCACTGCCCTGGAAAATCATTGCAGCAAAGGAGGGGGACTTGTCACCTCTGGGGAGTTGTCCCTAGTGATGAGAGCGGGAGTGGGGGCTGGGAGCCAGGACTCCTGGGTTCCCCTCCCCTTCCCCACCTCCCATATGGGATCATGGGGCCATCCCGCAACCTGCTTTGCAGACCCAGAGGTAGTCTCCTCCCAGCCTGGCCTCTATCTCCAGCCAAACCCAGGGAGCGTCTTTCCCCCTGTCCCCCTCACTCAGCGATGGGCTCAGGCTCTCGGCAAACTCAGGCAGCACCGGTCACACCCAGAGCAGCTCCCCCCCGTTTCTCAGCAATAGACTCAGGCTCTCCCTGAGCCAGCCCAACTTGTGCAGCAAGATGAGGAAATACCCATGGCTGTCAGGGCACCGGTGGGCGCTGAGCGGAGGAGACAGGCAGCTGGGAGAGGCGCCAGCGGGCCTGGGTTCTTCACCCGCCTTAATTAGGAGTGAAACAAAATGATCTAAACAGAGCCAGGCCTGATGGATCAGCTGCCACGGCCCCAGCGGGGAGGAGGGATGTCGATCTCGTCCGACGCTGCGGCTGAGGGGGGCCCGAGTGATGCCAGCTCAAGGCTGGGGTAGCAGGGGTTTGGGATTGAGGGACACCAGCAGAGCTGGGGGGGGAGCCATGCAGATCAGGAGTGAGAGGCACTGGCAGAGCTGGGGGAGGGGGAGTCCCGCCTGCCCAGCCCTCACCTCTAGGCATCAGATCATGTCCCCAGACCGGTCTGGTTTGAATTTGGGTGATTGGAGCAGGGTGGGGCCAGCCAGGTGGGTCCCAGAAGGGAGCCCTGGGCTCTGACGGCCAGATGTCCCCTCACTCGGTGCCAGGGCCGTGTTGTACCAGGCACCGGGCTCACCTGGCAAGTTCGCTCACCTCCTGTACCCAGCGACGGGTGTGCCTGGGATGCTTGTCTGAACACTGGGCTGAAGTCCCTTCTCTGGAGGCAGGACTCCTGGGTTCTTTTCCCAGCTCTGGAAGGGCAGTGGGGTCTAGTGGTTAGAATCATAGAAGATCAGGGTTGGAAGGGACCTCAGGAGGTCATCTAGTCCAACCCCCTGCTCAAAGCAGGACCAATCCCCAACTAAATCATCCCAGCCAGGGCTTTCTCAAGCCTGACCTTAAAAACTTCAAGGGAAGGAGATTCCACCACCTCCCTAGGTAACCCATTCCAGTGCTTCCCCACCCTCCTAGTGAAATAGTGTTTCCTAATATCCAACCTAGACCTCCCCCACTGCAACTTGAGACCATTGCTCCTTGTCCTGTCGTCTGCTACCACTGAGAACAGCCGAGCTCCATCCCCTTTGGAACCCCCCTTTCAGGTTGTTGAAAGCAGCTATCAAATCTCCCCTCATTCTTCTCTTCCACAGACTAAACATCCCCAGTTCCCTCAGCATCTCCTCATAACGCATGTGTTCCAGTCCCCTAATCATTTTTGTTGCCCTCCGCTGGACTCTTTCCAATTTTTCCACATCTTTCTTGCAGTGTGGGGCCCAAAACTGGACACAGTACTCCAGATGAGGCCTCACCAGTGTCGAATAGAGGGGAACGATCACGTCCCTCGATCTGCTGGCAATGCCCCTACTTATGCATCCAAAATGCCATTGGCCTTCTTGGCTACAAGGGCACACTGTTGACTCATATCCAGCTTCTCGTCCACTGTCACCCCTAGGTCCTTTTCTGCAGAACTGCTGCCTAGCCATTCGGCCCTAGTCTGTAGTGGTGCATGGGATTCTTCCGTCCTAAGTGCAGGACTCTGCACTTGTCCTTGTTGAACCTCATCAGATTTCTTTTGGCCCAGTCTTCTAATTTGTCTAGGTCCCTCTGGATCCTATCCCTACCCTCCAGCGTAGCTACCTCTCCTCCCAGTTTAGTGTCGTCTGCACCACTTCAGCTAGGTCAGTTTAAAAGCCCATTTGGCTCCGCAGCAGACAGAGGGAGTGTTTGTGCCTCGGGACGGTTCCTCGCTGTATAATCCCCAAGAGACGAGGGGCGGGTCTAGTCAAGGTCAGCACCGCACCCCCATGTGCAGCTGGCTCAGCAGGGAGTAACAGCCCTCCACCAAGGGGCAGGGTGGCGAGGTGGATGGACTGAATCATAGAATCATAGAATATCAGGGTTGGAAGGGACCCCAGAAGGTCATCTAGTCCAACCCCCTGCTCGAAGCAGGACCAATTCCCAGTTAAATCATCCCAGCCAGGGCTTTGTCAAGCCTGACCTTAAAAACCTCTAAGGAAGGAGATTCTACCACCTTCCGAGGTAACGCATTCCAGTGTTTCACCACCCTCTTAGTGAAAAAGTTTTTCCTAATATCCAATCTAAACCTCCCCCACTGCAACTTGAGACCATTACTCCTCGTTCTGTCATCTGCTACCATTGAGAACAGTCTAGAGCCATCCTCTTTGGAACCCCCTTTCAGGTAGTTGAAAGCAGCTATCAAATCCCCCCTCATTCTTCTCTTCTGCAGGCTAAACAATCCCAGCTCCCTCAGCCTCTCCTCATAAGTCATGTGTTCCAGACCCCTAATCATTTTTGTTGCCCTTCGCTGGACTCTCTCCAATTTTTCCACATCCTTCTTGTAGTGTGGGGCCCAAAACTGGACACAGTACTCCAGATGAGGCCTCACCAATGTCGAATAGAGGGGAACGATCACGTCCCTCGATCTGCTCGCTATGCCCCTACTTATACATCCCAAAATGCCATTGGCCTTCTTGGCAACAAGGGCACACTGCTGACTCATATCCAGCTTCTCGTCCACTGTCACCCTTAGGTCCTTTTCCGCAGAACTGCTGCCTAGCCATTCGGTCCCTAGTCTGTAGCTGTGCATTGGGTTCTTCCGTCCTAAGTGCAGGACCCTGCACTTATCCTTATTGAACCTCATCAGATTTCTTTTGGCCCAATCCTCCAATTTGTCTAGGTCTGATAGAGGGACAGACAGATGGAGAGGGATGGAGACAGATGGAGACAGACAGATGGAGAGAAACTGATAGAGGGACAGACAGATGGAGGGGTGGATGGAGGGGTAGCCAGATGGCTGGATCAGCGAATAGATGGATGGATACATGGTGGATGGTTGGATGGGTAGACGGATGGATGGATGGTAGACAGACAGATGAGTGGATAGATGGATGGATGGATGGATGGTAGACAGACAGACGGATGGAGGAGTGGATAGATGGGTTAGTGGATAGATGGATGGTGGACAGACGGATGGATGAGTGGATAGATGGATGGATGGATGGTAGACAGACGGATGGAGGAGTGGATAGATGGGTTAGTGGATAGATGGATGGTGGACAGACGGATGGAGGAGTGGATAGATGGATGGATGGATGGTAGACAGATGGATGGAGGAGTGGATAGATGGAGGAGTGGACAGATGGGTTAGTGGACAGACGGATGGATGAGTGGATAGATGGATGGTAGACAGACAGACAGATGGATGAGTGGATAGATGGGTTAGTGGATGGATGGTAGGCAGACAGATGGATGAGTGGATAGATGGAGGGATGGTAGACAAACATATGGATGGATGGGTGGATGGATGGTAGACAGACGGATGGATGAGTGGATAGATGGAGGGATGGTAGACAGACAGATGGATGAGTGGATAGATGGATGGATGAATTAGTGGATGAATGGATGGATGGTAGACAGACAGACGGATGGATGAGTGGATAGATGGGTTAGTGGATGGATGGTAGACATACGGATGGATGAGTGGATAGATGGATGGATGAATTAGTGGATGAATGGATGGATGGTAGACAGACAGACGGATGGATGAGTGGATAGATGGAGGGATGGTAGACAGACAGATGGATGAGTGGATAGATGGACAGAAGGAACCGGTTCCAGTGTCATTCTCCCTGTGGCTGTTGCTCCATCTGGTCCCCATGTGACGACAGCCAGACACAACTTCGGTGCTCAAACTGGACCCGGCAGGGAGCTTACCCCCTCAGCTACCCACCCACCCAGCCATGCCATGGCCTGAGACATCCCCCCCGTCCCCCCTCCCGAGGGGTCAAAGGTACCTCTGGCACTAACCGGCGCCAGCAGCCTCAGCCGCGAATGGGCAACCATTGGGGGATGGGGGATGAGGGCCCCTCTGCCCACAGGCACTAGTCTGGGGCTCATGGGGGTGAGGGTGGGGTGGCACCTCATGCCCTGCCCCGGGCACTGCAGGGGGCAGCACCGTTATCCCACGGAGGGGTTGTACCCCGAGTGCAGTGGCCGATCTGGATGGCTGTGCCTGTGGATGGGGACGGGGGGAGGGGGGACAAAGCCTCCGGCAGCATCTCCTCATCCCGGCACGGCGCACGTTGGCCTCGTTAATCGCCAGTATTTAGGACGAGATCTCCATGGCAACCATGCCTTAAATTTTCCCAACTGCCTTTATGTTTTTTTTTTAAAGCCCATTTGCCACTGTGGCAACTAGCCTGGGGGGCTGGGGGCCTTGGTGGGCAGAGGAGGGAAACGGGGAGTCATTTCTCACCCCAAAGCCCAGGGCAGAGAAGCCAGTGTCACCCCAGAAGCCCCAATGGTATTAATGCCAGGGGTGAGTTTAGACCAAGGAGTTGAGAGAAGGGGAGTGGGGTCTAGTGGGTAAAGCCAGGGTACGGGGAGGGCATGGGACCCTGGGCGTCAGGACTCCTGGGTTCTATCCTTGG